TTCCATCAGATGAGGTAATCGAACAAAGTTATGCTTTTTTGTCACATATGGAAAATAGATTGGAGCAAAAGCTCGAAAAAAGGTTAGGAAATTCGTTGTCGAAGGTCCTGGATAATAGCTTGCAACAATGGTCGGTGCAGCTAAATAAAGCTAGTTGAGTCGGTGCTGCAGAATCTAACTTCCCAAAAAAGATTTTCAAGAAACCACGAAACCAATATGAGTACGATGCATTCTGTGAAGCCAGAACTATGCTTCAAAAAGCTATTTAGGAGGATTCGAAGGAGAAGATGACAGAGGTACAGGAGCTGTTAAAACTGAGGGCATTTGTTCTAAGAGTCGTAGAAGAAGAAGGTTGGAAAGTGGCGGCAAAGATACCAAAACCAACCCCTAGTGAAACCGATGAATTTAGGGAATTACTAACTGAAGCAAGGAAACAAGCTAAACCTTCTGAAGGATTTCCCGCATTCTATAGTAGAGGAACCTGGAGAAGTAGAGGCAGTTCGTAGGCTCCCAGGCCAAGACGAAATTATTATACACCCTACCCGTTACCATACTCACAACCGAAGCCTTATGTCCAGCACCCACCACCTATGTTTCAAGGGTACCAGAGTCAGAATGTGATCCCGAACCCAGGTCCAGCTTACCAAAACTCGTATAACAGATCAGCAACAAAGCAGTTTAACTGCTATTTTTGTGGTGGCGCTGGTCATACAGCAGCAGTATGTCCATCAAAATCGGCAGAGGGTAACTCACTAAGAAATGGATTTTTTCGGAACAAAAGCAGCAATGGAAGGTGACTACACTCGGGGGAAAAGGAAGAACAAAATAATAATAATAGCTGGCGATACAGATCAGAGCAGGGAGGTTGTAGGAAAAATACACGAGCCAGCAGCCGTGAGATATTAGATGGAAAAGATAGGACCCCCACCAGTAGTAGATTGCTGGTTAAGGAACTTAGTGCCTCTGTTTCCAAGGAATGTATGGAGCCTCATCGAAAAAGGGGATCCAAAACCCTACAAACTAACGGCAGAACAAAAGGTGTAGTTGGAGGAGGAGTTAAATCGGTTAGAAAGGCTGGGTGATATAAAAAAAAATAGGATCAGGATTGCTTCGCCCAATTTCACTGTTGGAGGTTTCTCTGATTTTTCTGGTGCCCAAGCCAGGCCCAAAATGCTACCGCCTGGTAATAGACTTAAGGAGGTTAAATGAAAGGCTTCCGAAAAAATAATTTCGATTCGAAGGGCTAGGAGGCCTATTGAGGTCAATTGGAAAAGGATGGTCTATGATTACATTAGACCTAAGAAATGAGTATCACCATGTTCTAATGGAGGAGGAAGCTCAACGTTTTCTGGGGTTTTGGGTGGGGAATTTCTGGTACCAGTACCGAGTGTTGCCGTTTGGCCTTTCCCAAGCGGTTTGGATTTTTTCAAAGATAATTCGGGCATTAGTCGCCCATTGGAGATCAAAGGGTATTGCTTCGGGCTCCCATATCGATGATATATGGGTAGCCAACCCTTCTGCAGTAATATTGGAGAAAATCAGGGACGAAGTCATTTTGCCGGACCTGGAAAATTGTGGGTTTGTCCTGGCTTGAAACAAGAGCAGTCCGATGCCGTCAAGAAAAATAAAGTTTTATGGTCTAATTGTGAATACGGAAAGGGCACAAGTGATCGTGTCACAACAAAAGCTGGAGGAGACAAAAGCTTGTTTGAGAACATTGTTGGAAATAAATTGGGTAACAGCCAGACAGTTGGCAAGGGTTACGGGCAAGGTTCAGAGTTTAGCAAGGGCCTTTGCCCCAACACAAGTAAAATGTTTGGAGTTCTACCCTCTTATCAATACACAAACTGTCAGAGTTGGAGATGGGATGAAAGAATTTGTCTGTCAGAGCAGGCAAAAATGGATGTGTGTTGGTTGTTGGACAACCTGGGGACATACAATGGCCGCCCGGCCTGGAGACCGTCATTAATAAAGAGCCTGTACGTAGATGCCTCAACAACCGGTTGGTGCGCAAAATTGGATGGACAAATGGCATTCGGAAATTGGCCAGAAGTGCTAAGTTTTTGAGAGATTGCAAAACTGGAAGCAGAAGCCCTTCTGTTTGGCCTTCGGAGTTTTGCAAATTTGTTGGAAGGTTTTTGGGTTCTAGTGTTTATAGACAGTCGTACAGCACTAGTGACAATGAAGTTAGGCGGAAAACGCTAGTGGCAAAAAGAAGCCTACAGAAACTTGTGGCAAGTTTGTTTGGAAAAGGACATTTGGATATACGAGATGAGGTGGA